GGTTAGTGCTTGTATATCTAAAACGAGTTTCCCAGTCTTTAATCTTTTCATTTCCTTCATATTTGTTCAGTCTAACTAATTTATCTAATGATGCTGTTAAGAAAGCAAAACTGTCTTTAAACTGACAAGCGCCAAATGAAAAGGTTATGAACTTTTCGCTGTTTTGTGCTATTACATCTATTCTTTTGTTTTGGTTTAGTTCTATGTTTAGTTCATTTGCTTTTGCTATGATTAAGTGAGCGTCATAATTTTTAAGATTATGAAAGAAAATAGGGATTTTAAAATACCTAAATGAATAATCCAGATTACACTTTACATGCGCCGCGCCTCTGTATTTGCCTGTGAAGTGGCAGTGGTCGCGGACTTTCTCATCATCAGGTTGGAATTTCTTATTACATATAGAGCAGTGGGTTGCTTGTCTAAATTCTGTCTTCTGTTCGTAAGTTAATTCATCCATTGGTTTATTAACATTCATCTTTTCAAATATATCTTTCTTAATTTCAGTCAGTTGTTCTACAAACTTTTTCATACAATCCTCACCTCTGTATAAGTACGGTTGGCATGTATTATCAATCCTGCTTACTACATTTAGCATATAACCACATGGTTTATGTTCTTGGTAAGTTCCTCTGGGAGCACTGCTTCCAGAGCAACTTACGGCACCGAAGGTGCCGTAAGTTCCCTTTATTTCAATGTTAGAGTTAGTGGTTAGACATTCAAAATCACCGTAGATTACAAAAGGACAAGGCAATTTAGTATTATGCTTTTCAAATTCTATGTATGTGTCTTTATTTGGCATCTTTGTTTGTTGTCCTTCTGACGCCATACATCCTTTTTCAAGATGCTTCTTAAATACTTTTTCTGATTGAAATGGATTTAAGCAATGGTGGCAGTAAAACTTTTTATTAGTGTTGCTACTGCTCTGACAGTTTAGTAATCTAGATTTTTTTTAAACTAATACGTAATGATAGTGATTATCTTCATCATAGACTTTTAATAAATCTATTTCGTATTTAGCATTTCTATTTTTAGTGCCTCTATGTAATATGATTTTGTTGTCATTTAAGCTGTCATCTGGTTCAAAAACATTTACTGAAACTGATTTATTATTCTCTTCAAATCTGTCTATGTCCCTATTAACATTGGAAATTTTACACCATCCCAGTTCAACATATCATCTTTGAGTTCATTATAGTGGAACATTTCCTCTGGGTGATGTTTGCTTATTTTGTCATAGACTATGGATTGAATACAATATTTGAAGCATTTTTGGTCTATATTTTCTATGTTGATACATGCCTTTTTTAGTTTAATCCATTCTGGTAATTCAATGTATCTCCCTGCTCTTGTTGGGTCATATCTGTCATAGTGAATAGTTATTGATAAAATATTCTTAAATCTTAAATTAGATGTTGAACTTTCTAAATTTTGTATTTGTAATCGGATTTGAATAACACTATCTTCTAATGCTTGTGTCAGTTCATCCTCATTACTAATATTGAAGCGGGTTGATGGTAGGGCATATACAAGTTCCTGACTTCCCAATTCATTTCCTCCATCATCATATTCAGGTTTTTCAAATAATCCTTCCGTTCTTATATTAAGTTTCATGCTTCTATTATTTCTCAAAAAATCTGATAGTCTTTGTTTTTGGTGCGCAATCATTTCTAATCCCCTTTCTCCTTGAAAGTGCTTGTTTTCCAAAACTATTGAATTAGCGTATCTTCTAAATGCTGATTGAATATCTCTGACCCTGAATGTGTTTTTTTTTTAAATAGCGTGTTTGGTTAGTAATAGTCTAACCCTTTCTCTACTTACAACATCCGTTGCCTTTTTCATAGCATAACTTCTGTATTCATTAGTGTTCTTTACTGATAGTAGTTTCTTGGTCAAAACATTTGATATGGGCTTGTCTTTGTTGTATCTGAACTTTTTTGTTGTCTATGATTATGGACTTCAATTCTTTTCTTCCTTTTTTTGCTATTTCTGCTAAATCATTACTCAATAATTAAATAGTCTATAATTTTTTTCATCATATAATAGTATATATTTTATTTAGTTAATTTATCTTTAAGTAGTTTTTTAAAGAATGCTTTTTTCTAATCTTTGAATATATACTTAAAGAATAATTATTTAAGTATATTTGTAGGATGGATTGTGCGAAGGATTTACCCATTGATGTGTTGAGTAAAAGTGCTTCTTAAAAATTGGAGACCCTAAATATTTGAAGTTTAAATATTGTCATATTGAGGCATTAAAGAGAATACAAAATAAGTATAAGTTTTCAAGACCTGGTTCTAAAATAACAAGACATTTGAAATCAAGAAAAAAGATATACATACATATAGTAGCGAACTGAAACTTAGAATGACGTTTTGGAAAATTAACCACACGGTTTAACACTTAGAATGCTACAAAAAAGGTTACACATAGAATGAATCCAAGGGTTTTGGGGGCATGTGTTTTATGATTTTTGATGACTTCCACGTGAATTATGCTTTCCTTGACGATTTTTGTCCCTCCCTGCTGCATTTGTAACACTTAGAATGCCACACCCATCCTTTCCTCTTTCCTTTCCTCTTTCCTTTCCTCCTTTCTTTTTTCCTTTCCTTTGTCCTTTCCTTTTTCCTTTCCTTTTTCCTTTCCTTTTTTTCCTTTTTCCTTTCCTTTTTTTTCCTTTTTTCTTTCCT